TCTCTCTCGAAATATTCTTTCCCGAAGTAGAGAACGTTCTCTAATATGATTGTACAGTGCGAGTAGCATCCAGTCGTCCATATTGGACATAACTAAATAACTAAATTGAGGCAAAAGATGAAAGATGGGTCAAAAGACAACTGTCCACTCATCTCTGAGAAACGAGAGAATCTTCGAAAGTAAAAGCTGTCCAGAATCGCGTTTTGAGAGACGTAACAATCTCATGAGACATAAACAAATGATTAGCCAATCAGCGACCGGCTTGTAAGAGATGAGAGACAATGACCAAAATATGGGCCCTGGTCTCCAAAACCTCTCTCTCTCTCTCTCTCTCTCTTTCTCCTGTAGTTTTTTCTCTGAACTCATAATGCTCCCTCTTTCAAGGAGTGTCACTGTCAAACATGCATATCTACAAGTTTGACAGTGACAGTTTATTGGCTTATAAGATTGTCTCAAAAGTTTGAAATTGATTTCTTCAGTTTCTGTTATTAGTTGCTATTATGATTTGTGTAATGGCCACATAGTCCAATTGCAGCAATGAGGTCTGGTAATAGAATTCATGGAGCTCTGTTAAGTGTTCCTCTAGATCAGGAATGCACAAACTTGTTAAGACCAAGGGCCACATAAATCCACTGTGATTTATGGGAGGGTTGCCAAAAAGAAAACTTGAAAGTTATCTACCACAGCTGTTACTCGTGTTTTGCGGGAAATTTCCAAAAATCTACACAGGGAGATAGCTATCTTGCCAGATGTGTTGACTTTACTGAGTATACTCAGATTGCCAATTATTCAGTTATCCATATAATAGCATTGTTAAAGGTGGAAACTGAAAAAAAAGTTAAAAAATAAAAATTTCTATTGGATATATAATTATGAAACTTTGTGAGCTCATTGAAGACACTCAATAAAATGTAAATAACTTTTATTTGAATCAATTTCAGGAATTTGAAGCTTTATTAATTTTTAATTAATTAATTAAATTATGATCAAATACATTCGAGCATGGGCATTATTTAAGAGTTAAAATAATGTGAGGTGGATAAATCAATGGAGGGCCGCAGTCTGTGTATCCTTGCTCTAGATGCCAAATTATAGACTGATATGCAATGTTGTGGCATTCCAGATACTACTTGCTTTTTTTATATCTTTGTAATCTGTGGTATTAGATTACAAAGATGTTATAAAGAAAGCAAATAGATACGGTAAGACCCTGCTTAACACTGATTTGATATAATGCAGTCTGCTCGAAACCTAAAAAAAGCTCAAAATTTATGCCAATTTAAATTATCACAGCATTTCATTGATTCGTATATAATATGATTATTTACAAACATGAACCAATCAGAAAAATGTGGCAGAAAGGTGTACTTTCTTTAAATCTATGTTTGTTTGGTGCAATTTTGGAAAAAAACATCATGGATGCTATAGACAATATCGGCTTTGCTTGGCAAGAATTAACTGATAAATGCACGAACAGAGTGTGAAAGAAGTTATGACTGAAGATATCTAAAAATTCTTAACGAGAAGAGCCTATCACTGTATTGTTAGGTTGACCAAATTGTCAACCTAATCAATACAGCAGGATGGATATTGAGGAGTTACTGCAGGTTTCTGGAGAGAGCCTTACCAATGATGACCTTCATCTAGAACAACTGGCAGAACAAGGAATTCACGTAGAACTGGAAAATAGAGATTCTGAAAACAAAGAACCCAAAAAATTTCTCTACAGATTTTCTTAGTAAAAGTTTGGTAATGATAACCGAAATCATTGATCAAATTATAGTGAATTATTCAGTTTTTGAAAGGACTGCAAAAGCAAAACGAGGCGTTTTGGATGTGATCTCTTGCTATCGACATTTGCTTAAGGAAAGAAAAAAGCGACAAATGAAACTTCATGACTTCATTGCAAAAAACAAGAATTTCAGAAAAGTCAGAACCATCATCACAAAAAATGAACTTTACATTTCTGTGTGCATATCTTTGTGTTATTTAACATATATTATTATGCAAATCAATATAAAAATAACTTAAAGTAAAATTTTATTTATTTTCGGTAGCATGTTTTCCTGTCCCTATTTACTCTGTTAAAATGACCTCATTTGACACTGTTTTATTTAGCACTTTGTCATCTAGGAATGCATTAAGCAGGGTCTTACTGTATTGTGAATGTATGTAATTTAATATATATATAATATTTATTAAATTACATATATATTTATTACATATGTTCACAAATTAATTATACATATGTTCACAATATCTAGAATATAAGAATATAATATACACGGTAATATCTTGGTTTTCATTGACCTCGGTTATTGTTAGTTTTGGTTTTTGTCAATTTTTTTGTGAAAAATTTGTCTTAGTTTTTGTTGGTTGCCTCAGATTTCGTTAGTATGCCCAGATGACCTTGCTGCTAATTTTGCGAAAACAAAGGTGACCCACATGTTTTCCTATTCTGTGGTGGTGTTTGTCATTGTGTGAACATTACCCTGTGTCTAGTGAAACAATTCCATTGCTTTCCTTTCCTTTTAGCTCCATCATGGAGGCCCACCAATGAGTGACCAAGCGGTTCCATTCCCTGAACACTGTGAGTTTGGTCATGGGTTAGCACCTTGCCAGAATGGGCTGGCCATATGGAGTTTTCTGGGTTTTCTCCATGTCTGTAATGCCTGAATAGGGACCAGTTACCCTTTAAAAGTCCTTCTGGAAGGCATTTCCCCTAGGCAGATCACACAAGTGTTGCATTTCTTTAATTTAACGAAACAAACAAACAAGCTCTATCATGGGACCAAAGAAAGTTTCCAGAGCCAGCAGCCCTTCGAATGCCATGTTAAATGTTCGTTTGTTCTTTACATTAGTCTTTTATATTCATTTTATATTAATTTCTTATTGTTTTTAGTATTAAACTCTATTTATTCTCTATAAAATGTGTTTTGTATGTGTTTTGGAGTGTCTAGAACGAATTAATTGGATATACATTGATTTATATGGAAATAATCACCTTGGTTTTTGTCAGTTTTGGGATTTCACTGATTGTTTTCGGATGGATTATCGACGAAAATTGAGGTATCATTGTTTATATATTCTTATATTCTAAGTATTTGGATGTAAAATGTGATGACATCTCAACTACCTATCATTTTATTGTACTAGTTTCATCTTCTCCAGTTTATAATATGAATTTTGGCCTGAAAGGTTTTACATAATTCTCACTACAGCAAATTTATTATAATCATGCATTAAAATATTATGCCCTGACAACCCTCAGAGTCATTTGGTTAGTCAATTACTTGTTTGAACACACAATCAACACATACTTTCAATAATGTGAAAAGCAGACTTAACATATTTTTAAAGTTTGAGCCAGTATTTTACTACATCAAAAGATTGGATTTGATTATAAACAATGGATTTAACTGTAACACTGGTTAGCAATCTTCAAACACCATGCCATAGATGGACTACAAACCAGCCTTAAAGAATATAGAAAATTGAAAAATTAAACTTTAGCTTACAGTATTTTCTTGTTATATTTTCATCAATGTATTGAAATATGTTAATTTTTTTTACTTGTAATTTAGTTAGAAGAACAAAAGTTGCAAAAGTTACAAGTAGAGAGAGAACAACAATCTTTAAATGAAACAAACTGTGAATTGGAACAAAAACTACAGAAAATGCATCAAGAACTTAATGCTAAAGATTCAAAAATAAAATGTCTTGAAAATCATTTAGCACAATCAAAATTACAAAAAGAAAACATGAAGGTAAGTAAATTTATAAAACTAAAATTATTCTAAGATGATATTTGTATTATTTGTTGCATGAGAAAAAGTTATTTTCATAAAAACAATATAGTTAACATTTTAAATATTACACATTGCAATTCAGTTTGACTTTTGCTTTCTTGAATTAGCAGTCAATTTTGTAAACTATTTTTATAATTTTGTGTTTACATATAGCATATTTGAACTTATTTGCATATAATAATAATTATTTATTAATTATTATTAATAATTATTTATTAATAAATAATTATTATTTATTAATTAGATTAAATAGTATATACATATTCAAATTCATTATCTACAAAGTATTTAAATATTAAAAATACTAGTCTTCAGAAAAATTACTCTTTTATTTAAATATTACGTAGTACGATCCAAAAGTTCGGGGACTTGGCTTAAAATTCCTTACCTTAAAAAGTTTATATTGCCGATGCACAACCACCTTCAAAATAATCATCTTGGGCAACAATACACTTTTGCCAACGCTAATATAACTTCTGGAAGCACTGTTGGAAGCCATTTTTCCCGTAAGGCCTCTCGCAATGCTGCTCTCACCTCATCTGATGACACACAAAACGGCGTCCCAGTAAATGCTTTTTCATTGATGGAAACAAATAAAAATCACATGGAGCTAAGTCCGGTGAATAGGCGGGGTGTGGAAGCACATTAATTTGAGATTTGGCAAGAAACTGTGTGACCATTTGGGACCGATTTGCAGGTCCATCGTCATGCAGAAGGTACCAGTCTCCACTTCACCAGATCTGCGGCCATTTACGACGAATGGATTCCCTCAAACGACGTAAAATGTCTAGATAATTGAGAGACCAACTCAACATTTTCCTCATTCCGTGAAGTCGAAGGTCAGCCAGAGCGTTCATCATCTGCGATAGATTCTTGGCCCTCTTTAAACCTTTGATTTCACCATGGTAGAATCACCCTACACCTTTCTTAGCAATTTTAAAGTCTTCATAGATATTTTACCTAAACGCTGACAAAATTTAATGATGCAGCGCTGTTCTTGAAACTCCATTTTTATTACGTCGCAAAATGAAAGTAACTATCTCCGAAAAAAAACAACAGCACTTGCGGTTTAATCATGTGACATGGGCAAAATCAACCTGAACATGTAGGGTGGTTTGATAGAATCCATCTCATACGCTGTAACTTTAAATACATGCTTTTGTTGTCATACATTACTGCAGTCCCTGAACTTTTGGATCGTACCACTTATGAGTACTATTTGTTAAAATATTTTAGAGTTAGAAATGTTCTAAAAATGTAATTAATAAATAATAATAATTTAAAAATCTAAGCAAAAAAGCAAATAAAATTCCAAATAATAAGACAAATCAAATCAAAATTAATTTAATGTAAATAATTTACTTTTTCTAATATGTTGTTATCACAATGTTCTTCTAATAGATTAAGACAACTAATACAAGATATGCCACATAATCGTTTTGCAGGAGGTAATAACAGTTCTGTGTCCATATTCTCATCAGTTTTTTGTTCTCTTACACATTCCTGTTGGTTTCCTAATTCTGATAATCTCTGAAAATATTTAAAATAATTAAGAATTAAACAATTTTACAAATACAACTATACAAACAAGTTAAACTAAATAAAAACTTTCTAAAAAGCCAAAAATGATAAATTTCTACAAGATTTCATCAAAAATACCAGGACTTCATTCATAAAATGAAAAAATACATCTTTAAACATTATCAACTAAACCTCGAAGAAGCCTTTTAAAATGCAGCTGTTTTGTTATCTTTTTGAACGTTTTCAGTCATTTTCAACAACCTTCCTCAAGAACAACAAAAATTAAATTAAATCTACAAAAGTATTTAAGTATTCAATTTTTGTTTTCTGAAAGTCATTGAAAATGACCTTCTTCAGAAAACAAAAATCTCAATTCAGAACAAGGTGTGGAAAATGTCTGCCAGTGGCAAATCTAGGAAATAAGGTAGCTGAAGAACAAGAGATTTTTTTCATTCAAAAATTTTATGCCAAAACTTCCTATACTAGCACTGTCTGTCTAGCTGTTTAATAGTATTAAGATTCGCAATCACATTCAGTTTAAGTAGATACAAGTCTTCCTACTAACAGCCACTTGGCACTAACTTCTACACTTAGCCATTCGTGGCGGCACTCAATTACTAGTGTTCGCTACACTCAGATTTTCTTTTAGACCCTTTGGGGGACTATGGCCTTGCAGCCTAATAACTGCATGCCAACATCAAACATAGAGAGTACTGTAGCCTTATGTATGCCGTTCCGAGGGATCCTACCTTTCTCTACTGTCTATCTTCTCTCCCTCTTTCTTCCCCTCCCCTTTCCCTTACCCTTTTTTCTGCTGGCTAAACACTTCATGTATGGCCGATATCTTTCTTGTATGTATGTATACTAGCATGGCTGCATGCAATTTTGCATTATCATGATATAAATTATACTGCTTACCTCTTCTGGAGCATTATAAAATTTTCTTTAACCTAAACACTTTTGGATTCATCTTGCCTGTCTTTGGAGTCAAAACAAAACTTTTGATCGGTGATAAGCAACCTTTTCTAAGCTGTAAGTGCAAATGAACGTTGTAAGCTTCCAAAGTTCTGACTGATCACATGCAATTTTTCTTATGGCGTAGCAGGCTTTAAGCTTGCCAAGTACAAACATACTCCAATACATTAGGTACTAAAATAATATATTCAAATTAGTAATATATAATTTATTCTCATCATTCATTGGTCAAGTTGGTTGGAACCAGTTATACAATGAAATAAAATATAGGCATTATGAATGTACTGTACTGTACATTTCAAAAATATACAAGGCAAGTCTTTTAGGCCATGTAATTGGTTTTCATAAAGCTGAATAATAAGACAGCATTTGATCTGACCGATTTATCCCAGGCATTCCAGCATTGTAATCTTATTATGTTAGGTTTATTGGAAACTTTTCCATTTCAGTTGTGCACTTCTACTACTACAAACTTGTGCAAATTACAAATTGCAAGTACTTCTCTTTTGTCTCTCCATTTACATACAATCACACATTGCCATTCTGTTTCCAGGCATATTCACTTTTTTAAAATTTTTTAATCACTATATCCTGTGGATTACCTCTCTGATTTTTCTGTAATGTTCTACAAACATATGCTTTGCATATAGATAAATGTTTTGTCAGTTGAACAGAGCTGTAAAAGTTGTCCATGCAGAGTATATACCCTTTATCTAAATTTTCCATCAAATGTAGTACATCATCTGTTGCATGAGTCAAGTGTGGTTTAGGTTTCCCTGCTTTAACCCAATAAATTTTTATTTTTAAAACTAAGCCATTTGACTGTCATAGTTCGTAAAGTTTGATAACATATTTGTGCTTTTTATTTTTTATATATTTTTGGGAAAAGTCTCCCTTGCCACAAAACCATTCACCTATACACAAATTTCTGTTTGGAATGTAATTGTTATTCATAATATTGTTGAAATGATTCATAATGGGTCTAATTTTGTAAAGTCTATTATCTAAAAAGTGCAACATTCATAATATCAACTGGAATCTATTTTGGCTCATAATTGTCAAAATTCTGTATATGATTGTACTCCAATAATGCTCTAATGATGGTAATGAGTGTGGACCCATATGAAATAGAAGTCCTAGAAAACTTTCATTTCAAAAATATTTGTGTTCTTCCATCTTGACATTCTGTTAGATCTTTGCACTTGTCCAAGTTCTTCAATTGTCTGTGAAGTGTATAAATTTGTTTGATCGACTAACAAAGTAAGAAATAATGGCTGTACTAAATTTTCTATCATAAAATTTGTACAGTCTACTTTTTAGACAAAAATGCTTTTCAATAATAAAATTAGGTGTCTTGCAGAATTTCTCTCCAGATAACATTTTCATCTTTTCTTTTTGAATATCTCGGTTCCTGAAAAGTACTTTTGTCTTCATCTTCATTTGCACTTTCACTCAAGGATTATGATGACTCATTGGATGAAAAGAGTCAGACCAGTCAAAACTTTTATCAAATTCTGATCCACTCAAGTTAACAAGATACTGTAAATATTTGTTATTTATTTTTCTCCTACTTGTACTTGCCTTATTACAAAACAAAAAAATACTCCTTTAAAAAATAAAAAAACCAACTATACTCAAAGAAGCAAACACAAAATGCACAAGTGAACACTTTATCCATGCATCAACATATACAACACTGTAAAATGCCTTGTCATTATTATACCAACAGAGATTTTTATTGTTTACTTGATGTTTATTAGTTAAACTCCTCTGGGTAAGATTCAAGCTCCGACTGACATGATCAGGACCCCCAGAATTGTAAACCCGCTATACGAGCAAAAAAGACAAAGGAACCATACTTATACATGCGACCCCTTGTGAGATATTTGCCTCCAAAGGTCAGTTTTTAACACTTATCAGTATACTGCCAATTCATAGTGTTCTGCACATAATCGCGTGCTTCGGTCTGAACGATAGCAAGCCGGCACTTGGGTGTGGGTGAGTCCTCACGCCCCCAAAAACTATATAACATCAAGTACTCCATGATCAGTCAGGTGGGCTACTCAAAGCTGGCATAGTCACACAGGCTAAATAGTTAAATGCAATAGTCTTAGCGAAGCAGAGTGACGTAACTTGTGTATCTGGCAAAGTGTCGCTCGGTAGAGGTACAGTTCCTGTGAGTTTTTTTGCACTTACAGGTACACTCTACAATTCTGATAAAGTCCCAACCATGCCACTCAGTGCTCGAATTGAGTCCTTCTCCAAAACGTGTAAAACAAAACAGACAGTCACACTTAAAAAACCAATTTAAAACATTATTCAGACAACAAAACAGACTCTGTCATAATTACTCGAATTAAGTTGTAGTTGGGGTCGTCAATATAAAATTTATTTCAGACGCCAACTACAAGATAACTCGCGTAGCTATTTTTTCACCAAATGTTACTTATTATTTCCTACTATGCTTAAAAATAAACATGAAATTTTAACACAACAAAATAAACTTCTTCATAATCAAAATGGCGTCTATGCAGAACCCGCACGAAATAAATGTCAGTCCAAACACGTTGACTTCAACGTGTTTGGACTGACATTTATTTAAGAAACTGCTTTATAAATACTCTCTGGTTATAATATGGGGTTAGATAAACAAATTTTACTAATTTAAAATCTTTTTAACTCGTCAATACGAAATAATGCCAATTAAATCGAAATTATATTAAAATTTTCAAAAAATGTTGACATGTCTTACTCACTTTTAAGACTTGTTCAGGTGTAATAAAATTTGAATAACTTTTTTCTCCGAGTAATCTTAATATGCATCGAGAACAACAACCAACACATCTCAGATCTTCAATTATGACAGTTCTCTCTTTGCTTTCTGATCCAACAATCATTTCTTGTTATAAAAAAATATATTTTTTAATTATTCGATTATATTTAAATAGTACAGAAATATAGCATAAGTACTGTGTTTTTAGTTTAAAACATGTCATTTGTTGCATGCACGTTTCCGTGAAGATTCAGTGTTGCCAGATAGAAACGTTCTGCTGCAATCACAATTTCTCTACTAATTTTTTTCATAATACAAAAATTTTTGTTGGAAATCAATCTTTAAATAATAATTAATAATTTGAATAATATTAATTTAAATACAATATATAAATGGAATCGTGTTAGCCGCCTGCGTGCCAGTGATATTTGGCCGCCCCTATCAATGCTGATCACGAGTAAATTCAAAATCTAAGCGAATGCACGAGAGCCTACTGTTGAGAGGGTTAAAAAATCCATGAAAATATTTGATATACAGTGGTACCTCAGGATACGAAATTAATCCGTTCCGATACTGAGATCGTATCATGAAAATGTCGTAAGGTGAATCATTTTTCCCCATACGATTACATGTAAAACCAAATAATCTGTTCCAACACGAAAAACACACTCAAATTAAAGCTAAGTAATACATTACAAAAAAAAACTATAGTAAGGAAAACACTGAAAAATGCGTTTCGTAGTTGTAAATGTATAAATAATAATAGAATAATAATTGATTTTAAAAAAAATGTAGTTTTATTTGCACTTTACCTTTGAGGATAGACGACGGTGGAGGTGTAAACTGGTGGCGGAAGAGAGGGAGAAGGGAAATGATACTAAAACTTAACTTACATAACATAATGTAACAATAACTTAAAAATAACTTAGAAAAGATTAAAAAAATTAGTGTTGTTTTATATATATTTTTTTAAATTTTTATTCACTGCTTTTTGCTTTCTTTCCTTCACTTCCACCAGCACTTTCACTGGATAGAGGTCGCTTGGTAAAATATCTATCCAAAGAGGTTTGGCTTTGCCTACTTTTTAAAATGTTTCTAAAATGACTTAGGCAAATGTCATTACTCCGAGCAGCAATACGGCCATTGTAAACCTTTTCGCGGTGTTTCTTTTCAATAAAATCAGTCACTTTCTGATAATACCTCAAGATTTCCTTTATCGAGCGAGATCCTTCCACAACGAAGCAAACACGCGGACTGAGATCAACGAACAGAAGTGAATAAAAAATGGCGCTGCGAACTAATGTAACGTCGTATGGTGAGTTTTTGTTCGTATCGTGGAGCAAAAATACTGTATGTTCGAATTTCATGTCGTATCCTGAAAATTTCGTATGCTGGGTCGTATCCTGAAAATTTCGTATCCTGAGGTACCACTGTATATTTATTTTGATTTTATTCAAATTAAGCCGATAATAGAAGCCTTTGTTCAAAGTTATATTTCTGCGCCGTCATAAAATACAAGTTGCAAATTAAAATGAAATTAATTTAAAGAAATTTTTCTTATTTAGTATATAAATACAATACATACGTATGTGTATATAAAAATTTATTTAAATATGAATATTTGAATTAATAACGTTGGTGCGCATTTCTTTGTTTATTTAAAGTGGGCTGCAATTTGAAAAAATTGTACACCTATAAATTCCCACTGTCGTCGTCCGTCTATCCGTCTGTTTCCTTAACCCCTTAATCTCGAGAACTGAGTTAGATACGTGAAAATCAAGACCAAATATAAACAGCTTACGGGCGGGATGTCCAGATGAATACTTTTTGAATTATGTAACTATACATAATTCAAAAAGTTTTCCCCTGAGAAGTTAGATAATGACCGACAGGAGTCTGTTGATTACTATATTTACAGTATGAAAAATTATATTTTTTTTAGTGCACTATCGGCCGCCCGCGTGCATGCATGCACTGCATACCTACCAAAATCGGCCCTGAATGGAATATCGTGCGTTTCAACAATATGCTGAAAAATTTTTAAGACTGCTCTGTGGGTTTTTAACCACTCGGCCATCCGCTCTCTAGGTACTAAGAAGGCCTTTTATCAGCCCAATCTGGGTTTAGCCAGACTTACAATGTGGCCAAGTGATGAAGGAAGTGGTCCGATATATTCTTAATATTTATTCAAAATGTTTTATGACAGAATTATTATATTGATTTCTACAAATCATAATGTCTGCTATGTTAATTA